CTGCAATCTTCAATTACCTACGCATCTTTACTCATTCCATTCATGATTACAGGTAGGATGCTGTGAATATTTGAAGTTTTGTTTATTTATTTGTGATAAGTGAATGCGTAATCACTGACCACATTACCAAAGCATTAGTTTATTATAAACATGTAAAATAATTTAAGAAGATTGCATTTCAACTTGTTCATGTGGATGATTTTGATGTAGAGCAACATCTTTAATTTTAGATTGAGGTGGTTGAGCCAGATAATTTCACCAGCAGTAGTGGGAGTGTATTGCTGTGATGCCTCCTTCGTATTTGTGATTCTGACTTTGAGTCGTATGTTCCATGGTCTGTTCTGGGTGACCACAGTCGCAAACCAGAGTTTAAATTTTTCCATTTGTGCATCAAGCATTGGCACCTGCAATGGTTTGTGTGGATGCACCTCTGATTAGCACAGTTGGCTACGTACGATGTGAATAAGTTCAACATACATACACACATGCTGTTTAGGGTTGTGGCCCATAAGCATTAATATGTTGAGGTTTAGAAGTTAAGTCATAAAGTTATCTTTATTCTTATGAATATCATTGTTAGTCTCGAGGGGAGAGCTATACTCGTGAATACGATATATGAATGCATTAGTGATGATCTGTTTTTGATGTGGCGACCTTCACGCTGGGCATCTCGGAGCATTTTACATCAAATCTCATTTCAAACGTTTTAAAGGGCACACCCAGTGGCAGCTGTCCCTGGAAGCACAAGATGACTCTCCACCTAGCCTGAAAATGGGCATTTGTCTGTCTGCAGGGAGCGATGATTGCCATGTTTTCAATTAAAATTGAGTAATTTGAACATTTGTATTGTTTTAAATGTAAAGGAAATAATTAATGTTGCCCTGACAATCGTTTTGCAGGCAGCTGGCCACGATTGCCTTTGTGGACATGAATCCATTCCCGATGCGCTACATCAACCAGAAGCGGGTGCTGCACCGGGACCGCGTGCGTGCCGAGCTGAGTGAGCTGGAGCGCGTCCGTTTGGAGTTTGTGCGCGATCGACAGAACATCAGAGTTGAAGAGAAAAGCTTCCTCTCCGAGGAGGAGGAGGATTCCTGAATGGGAACGACTCGGATATCATGGCCCGACGGGGGTATGCCGAAAATCTTCTCTGCGGTGCCGTTAAGCACAGTGATTGGAACGATTTTGCATGCAGCAATAGAAGGGAAATCTGCACAGTGACACGTAAACATATAAAGGTAGAGGAGATGGAATGCACCTGTATGGCAGAGTGAGCATTTTGGTATGGATTTGTTAAATAGTAAGCATGTCATTACTGGTCAGGTGGAGCTGTGGTACAGTGGTCTGTGTATTGGTCTATCAACCTGGTGTCCTAAGTTGGATTTCTGGCCATGGATAGCATCAGTGACAAATATCATGTCTGCAATGGTATTAAGCTCCCCCTTTACCTGCCTCCAGCATCAGAATTCATATTTGTACTGGAGGAATCTGATGAGCTATAAAGCTCTTTTTCACAGATGTCCAGTAGGGGCGGGTCAGAACGTGACAACAACAAACAATAAAAACACATGATAGGAGTGCTAAGTAGAGGAAAGTTAAGCAAAAAAAATAAATGACAGGGCATTTAGAGGCCATCCATTACTGGATTGACAAAATACTGTTATGTTTTTATTTCTGGTAAGTAAGATTATGATGCATTTTTTTTTGCTAAACTTTCATTTTTTCTTTGTGAGGGCCCAAGCTCCTTAGTCTGAACTGTGCGGATTATGTTTAATTTAAAAGGCAGTGATAAGTACTGATCACCCATCCTTGCATGCCCTAAATAAATGCCAGCAGTGAAGCTTGCCAGCATCATTCTTTGGGGACTGATTTACGTTTGAAAGGGATTTGATAATTTCAGTTAATAGAAATCTAAAGGAGTTTGAACACAATTTTTATTGCACTAATTTGATATGAAAACATTGTATACAGTACTAGAGGAGATGCATATTTTTTTGCCTACATTGAGTACAATCTGTTTTTACTTAAGGATTTATTTTGCAAGTGTATTTCACTTGTTGCATTTACCATAAAATATGCATTGGCCTACGTTGTAAAAACTATAATCTGTTGCACAAAGCAGGGTAAAAACCAATCTAAAGTGTTATTGTTACAAAAAGCATCTGTATTCTGATATGTTATTGTGCTTCTAGAATGCACTTGTAGTAGAACCTTCATGAGAACTTTCCCTTGCTGCAAAGGCCTGATTGTATTATGTGCTTATAGCATCTTTATTTTATCTGCACTTTTTTTCATTAGCAGACTATATGGTAGTTGAATATGTAATCGTTATTCATTGGCAACAAATATATTTCCTTACAGAACTGTAGATTGAGATGATAAAATAGTCACTTAGTAAAGATGGTCCAGATTTAAACAAAATTGAAAGTGACAAACTTGGCGTTTTATTTCCGTACACCTTGTTGTATTATCATTGCATATTATCATAACTGTTATGATGTGAATACTTTTTTTTTAAAGAAAGTATAACCTCCTTTTGTCCAAACACAGTAATACTTTATTTTTCTGGTTTGGCAAAAAGTAGTTTAGAAAATAAATATTACAAAAAATATCTGTGCATAAGAATTGACCAATTACAATCGTGTTTGATTGATGTTTCACCATTGCAAAAAAAATGAAAAGTGTTTACAGAATTTAGACTTTCCTGAACTATATGGTGTTCATAAGTACTGCACTTAAATATTCGTTTAATTGTTTAAATCTAATTTTTTCACAAGTTGTATTCGCCTTTTAAAATGCTTTATTGAGCATAAGCTGATATGTGCCTTTTTCCACGTTGAGTGTTTTGCTAAATGCAATTCGTTTATCTGTTGCTCTTCCGTTATCTTCAAAATGACACGCAATTTTTGGCGTTTTTGTTTGTTACATATCACTGAATAAATGTTTTCGGTTTACTATGGTATTTAGTTCATTTATATCTGAAATGTTCGATTTATCAGAAAGGTACTGGAGTGCCTTCTGTAGCTCTACAAAGTGCACGTTGTAATCACAAGACAGTTTTGTGAATTTCATTCATACATTTTTTATAAATGTGCATTGTACCATTTCGTCTGATCAGTACGCCCAGACAGGAGTGTGGAGATACATGCTTTGATAAAGAGTGTCTATGGGATGTGGACTTTGTTCATGAAAAGAGGACATTCTGTCCTTTTGGATGCAAATCAACACTGGCTGGTGATTGTGCTGTAGCAGGTGCTACCTTTTGACGAAGCTTGTTGAATTGATGCCCTCTCTAGACAGGATAGGGTCTAGAGCTAGGGTTTGAAATCGTTCCTTCTTGTTTATTGGTGATGAGGTGCTTAATAAACAAAACTACTAATTACTTAAATCACTCAAATCTGAGTGTAGACTGGAATTGTTCAAATACACTTTTTTGTAATGTTAAACATTACTATACACCGATCGATATTTGCTTTGGGGTTGGGCCACGTAGTTCTATCCTAAAATTGCTGTCATCCCTCCAACACCTGGCAAGATTGTCACGTTTCCAAATAGATGGACTATTTATATATTAATTATATTATATAGCATGAAAATTTAATGTATATCACATATCAAATAATATATGTGGCATTGATAAATATATGTATGTTATAGATCTGTAAATGTAACAATCTTGTTGGGTGGTGGTGGGTTAACGACAAGAATGTTGGCATAAAATTACCACGTTGCTTAACCCAAAAACATCCATTACTCTGGCTTTGAAAGCCTACGTTGTCAATGATTGCGCACCGATCACATAGGTATGCCCTTCAATACTAAATCGTAACGCTGGGTGGCAGAAGTGCTTTGAAATTGAAATTGCAATTTCAATACGTTATAGTTTGATACGATTGTGTTCATTCTTGATTTGATTTTGTTCATATTTTCTTCAACCAAGCAAGCAGATTTTGAGTTTCATAGCCATTGGGGATTATTTGTTGTTTGCACGTATTTACGACAACCGTTTGCTTATATCTCTTTCACACAGTAATGCATCAGCTTTTTCAGAAGCCCAATATTTGAGCTGGGGCAGCAGTCATTGTTGACTGAATACTGAAGTAACTCTTGCGCAGTGTCAGCGCATAAGTTTATTCATAAATATCTGACTTCAGCTTTGCACGGGGCATTGGGCAACCAAAATAACAAGCAGAGTAACTTTTTTCGAATTCGGTAAATATAAAAAAAACCTAAATATTTCAAGAGCCACAATGCCACGTGTATACGAGACGGTTATTAATTAACATCATCTCTGAGCAGTCCTTTAAAGAGCCGCAGGTTGCCCGACCCCCTGGGCATTACCATTCACGAGTCTACAAACAACTTCCCTCGCCACCACCATCACCACCACCGGTCAACACGAGATTCAACATGAGACTTGCGTGAAACCGCACGGCCTCATTCATCAACAGCCAGAGGTGGTGGTGGTCAGAGGGGCTTCACCCGCATTCGTCGGGCAGGGCTCAGAGCAGCGGTCGGGAACCTATGGCTCGCGAGCCATACATATATGGCTGTTTCAGTGACGGCATATGGCTCCCAGACAATTTTGAGTTTAAAAAAAAAAATCAGTTTGGAACTGATTTTAAAATACTTGTGATATTGTTTAATAATACTGTGTCATTTTAAAGTAAACAGAAATTAGTTTTGAAGATACATTTCACGGGTCACGCCTGCATGAAGCTCAACCTCACCACGTATGAACCAGACAACAAGGCCATCAGCAAAACCACGCGGCACCAGAAGTCACATTAAAAGTATATTTAATTTATTATACGTTAAAAATACTATATGGCTCTCAATGAAATATATTTAGAAATATTTGGCTTTTATGGCTCTCCCAGTCAAAAAGGTTCCCGACCCCTGGCTCAGAGGCAGGAGAGGGTGGGGGGGGGGAGGTCTTCTCAGTGACGTTGCCCGTCTGGGCGGACCTTTAGGCGGAGTCACAAACTCTGTGAGCGCCTCCACCACCACCACCCAACCACCGTAGGAAAGCAGTAGGACTTGGTCGGGGCAGTGGCTGAACGAGCCGTCGTCATTCAATTGTCGCATCCATCGCAGCGATTTTTCCCTTGCCCCCGTGTCGCTTTCTCGAGACTGAACAAGCCGCAGTTGCGTGTGACCAGGGCCAGGTTTCAGAGGGCCCTCTGTGGCACCAGGTCTGGTGGTTTCAGGACGGAATTGTGACCAGATCCAGGTGCGCATAGTGGGGGGCATCGGGGACCGCGTTCGTTTCGAGGTTATCCTGCGGACCATCTTGGGACAACGTGTTGGGACGAGGGTCTTCCATCTTCAGTAAAAGATTCGGGTTGTTTTGACCGACGTGATCGCGGCACAAGGAAGGTTTGCATCACGGCCACGTCCAGGTGGAGTTGGTTAGTGCGGCGGTGTGGACAAGGTTCCGGATCTTCGGCGCTGCCGCGTGGTCGTCGTCCACATCGAGGGGAGGCGGGTGGTGGGTTCGGATATCGGTGACCACGTCGGAAGGTAAATGCCGCTGTGTGTGTGTGTTTGTGTGTTTGTTTGTGTGTGTGCATGCGGACGTTGGACACTTCACGTGGCCTCAATGTGCACATGGCCTGGCACAAGCGTCGTGGTGACGTCACCGCCACTTAGTGGCGAATGGCGGTTGTTGTTGTGTGTGTTTGTGTGTCTGTGTGTTTGTGTATCTGTAATAAGGTAGGGGCACTGATAAGGGGTTGACAGGTATGCAGTAGCGTAGTGTATAGTAGTGTGTATTGTAGTGTATAGTAGTGTGTATTGTAGTGTATAGTAGTGTGTATTGTAGTGTATAGTAGTGTGTATTGTAGTGTATAGTGGAGTGTATAGGAGTGTATAGTGTAGTGCATAGTGCAGTGAAAAGTTGTGTATAGCGTGTAATGTAATGTATAGTGTAGTGAAAAGTAGTGTATAGTGTAGTGTATAGTAGTGTATAGTGTGTAGTCGTGTATAGTGTAGTGTATAGTAGTGTATAGTCGTGTATAGTGTAGTGTGTAGTATATAGTGTAGTGAAAAGTAGTGTATAGTGTAGTGTATAGTAGTGTATAGTGTCGTGTATAGTAGTGTATAGTGTCGTGAAAAGTAGTGTAGTGTATAGTCGTGTGTAGTGTCGTGTATAGTGTAGTGTATAAAGTAGTGTATAAAGTAGGATATAGTGTAGTGTATAGTGTAGTGTATAGTGTAGTGTATAGTGTAGTGTCGTGTATAGTGTAGTGTATAGTGTAGTGTATAGTGTAGTGTATAGTGTAGTGTATAAAGTAGTGTATAGTAGTGTAGTGTATAGTGTAGTGTATAGTGTAGTTAGGGGCACTGATAAGGTGTTGACAGGTTAGCAGTATCTATGTTTTACTGAGCACTGGTGTGGATTAGTAGTGTTATTGTAGTGCAGTACATCAAAATATTGTGTTCATTGAGGTGTGTGCAGTACTGTGTATCTAGGTAACTCAATATCACTTCAGTGTTGTGTGTTGTACTCTCGTGCTGTATACTGCAACACTACAGTACACACACACATACACGTGTGTGCGCTGCAAACAGCATGTGTATAGTACACATGCATATATTGCATAGTATTGTATAGGTACGTCTGTTTATATTTCAGCACGTACTCTGTACAGGAATGACGTGTATAAGACATGTATTGTATACTTACACAACATGCTGTACATGTGTATGGATATGTATTGAATTGTATATTTGTATAACTACGTATAGGTATTGGCTATACACCGCGTGTATAGTATAATGTCTGCATACTGTACATATATGTGTACTGCACATACAAAAAATGGGAATGCTTATTTGATGTGTTGCACGCATACAAAGCGCTGTACGTATCGCTATATGCACCGTATGTGTACACGATTGTGGTTTTTATCATGTTGTATGTGGTGCTTTGCCTATGCCAGAGAGTACCGTCAAAGAGAGTAGGTCATACAACACTCACTGTACCCTCATCATGTCATGTGTGGTGTCCACGACACACGTGTTTGATTGTGCAACATCTACAGTGCGAGGTGATATACTGTGTTATGATTAGGGACACTCACTGCATCATATGCTTGTTTCATAGATCAAGATATTAAGGTGATTAAATGTTGTGGTTATGCAAAGTTTGGTCAAGTTTAAAAGCCTGTATGGTAAAATACATTTCAGTACAATGGAAATCCAGCCCATGCTTCTCAGCCTCTAAAACTAGCGTACTATCATATTTAGCAATATGACAAAGGTTGAGTTTTAACACAGAGCAAAGGTTGTATGTTTATATTACACAACAGTACGAGGTCCCATGATGATGAAGTATATATCTAATTTGTCTTCTTAATATAGCGCTTCTGTATGTGGGAATTGAGTTTAAAAATGAAATGCAACATACCACTGTGCCTTAACAAGAAAGGTATTAATAATTCTAGATTTGAAGCTTTCGTGACTGCAAGGATTCATATTCTTAGGTTTTTTTCGGTAAAGTCACGTAGGTAAAACATTAAAATTAATAAAAGTAAAATCAAATAAAAATCACGACGTTTCGGAGGCAACACAAGCTTCCGTCTTCAGGTGGAACCGTCACATCCACAACAGCTGTATCAAGTAAATGAGAGATTGCAAGAGCTACCACTCCGTATATATAATGGTTGGAGAGGGGGAAGGGCCAAGTACGGCACACTTTTTATTCATATGGTAAGGTGAGGCTTAAGAGGGTGAGCCTTTGTTATGGAGAGGTACGGTTTGTGCCTAAACCTGGCCCACATAACAAACAGTGTGAAAAGGAGAAAACCACTAAACATGGTAAAACAAGCCTGGCTGTCTATCAATAACCTTCCATGAGATACGAATGAGAAACACAGATGCTGACGAAGAAAACATGCAATAAAAAGCTGAAAGATGTGCAAAGCAGCATAGAGAAGAGAGGTACGTGCTAGGAATTAAACTAAGAATCAGGACGAAGAACACACGGTGGCTTACGGGACATATGCAAGTTAATAAAAATGGGCCTTTGGACACGTTGCGAGAAGGGTCAATGTTTGTTTTTAAATCGTTGGCACCTTACGTAGCCAACCCTGCAAATCGGAGGTGAAGTACAACAAACTAAAGACAAAAAGCAGCTATAAAGTTTTCATTCTGGATTTAAGAGGGCATAGCTCCGGTGACTTCCTAATGTCGAAAGGAAGAGCGTTCCAGACGGCCACAGAGCGCATTTGAAGGCGTGCAATGCAGGGGCCATCTTTGTTCGATGGTTAGGTTGTTAGATGGTTAGGTTGTTTGATGGTTAGGTTGTTTGATGGTTAGGTTGTTTGATGGTTAGGTTGTTTGATGGTTTGGTTGTTTGATGGTTTGGTTGTTTGATGGTTAGGTTGTTTGATGGTTAGGTTGTTTGATGGTTTGGTTGTTTGATGGTTTGGTTGTTCAATGGTTAGGTTGTTTGGTGGTTAGGTTGTTTGATGGTTAGGTTGTTTGATGGTTAGGTTGTCTGATGGTTAGGTTGTTTGATGGTTAGGTTTTTTGATGGTTAGGTTGTTTGGTGGTTAGGTTGTTAGATGGTTAGGTTGTTTTGTGGTTAGGTTGTTCGATGGTTAGGTTGTTTGGTGGTTAGGTTGTTTGATGGTTAGGTTGTTTGATGGTTTGGTTGTTTGATGGTTTGGTTGTTCAATGGTTAGGTTGTTTGGTGGTTAGGTTGTTTGATGGTTAGGTTGTCTGATGGTTATGTTGTTTGATGGTTAGGTTTTTTGATGGTTAGGTTGTTTGGTGGTTAGGTTGTTAGATGGTTAGGTTGTTTTGTGGTTAGGTTGTGCGATGGTTAGGTTGTTTGGTGGTTAGGTTGTTTGATGGTTAGGTTGTTTGGTGGTTAGGTTGTGCGATGGTAGAGGTTGTTTGATGGTTAGGTTGTCTGATGGTTAGGTTGTTTGATGGTTAGGTTTTTTGATGGTTAGGTTGTTTGGTGGTTAGGTTGTTATATGGTTAGGTTGTTTTGTGGTTAGGTTGTGCGATGGTTTGGTTGTTTGATGGTTAGGTTGTTTGATGGTTAGGTTGTGCGATGGTTAGGTTGTGCGATGGTTAGGTTGTTTGATGGTTTAGTTGTTTGATGGTTTGGTTGATTGATGGTTGGCCAGTAGTTGAGATGAAGGCTGGAGAGGCAGCTAAAAGATTGAATTTCCACCAAGACAACGTCCACCAACCATATAGTTGGATCGATGAAATCATCTCAAAATGCAGATGGACAATAGTAGCACTGGACCATATATATCTACAATAGTGTACAGTACTACTACTGTATAATGAACAGACAATGCTATTTGTACTTTAAATAAACAGGATTTGTTTCACCACGTACAAATGAAATTAGATGTTGGTCCATCAGTCTATATGCCTTCTGGATGAATGTTTTCCAGAAGCATTTGATGAAGCACACGACCCCTGATAGCTTTTGACTTAATATAGTGTGTGATATATGCAATGTTTTACACTGGCACCTGCTGCTTGGGACAGATTTCCATTTCAATGAAATGGGTGTACCCCATACTTTTTGTTAATTTGCCCATAAACTTTTTGTTAATTTACCCATAATTGGTATGTATGTTGAACTTCTTCCGCACCGTACGTAGCTAACCGTGCCAATTGGAACGTTTTACGACAAAAAGGGATAATTCGTAAGGACCAAAGTCTGCCTTCTTGTCTCATTGAAATTGAGTGTGGATCAGTCATAGCTCTGCTTTTCTCACATGCGGCGTCTCAGACCGAGAGAAGGGGACACGCACGAAGTGACTGGGCAGGGACAAGTTCACCTTCACCCCCCTCCAAGATCTCTTATATTCTTTTGAGTCACTTGGCAACGGCATGGTTCACCCACCCGATACCTGCCACCTCCCGCTGTGCGATTAAAGAAACTATTTATGCGTACGTTGTGCTGAAGCGCTATGAAGGTGTTACCTCGTTCGCCTGGAGAAGAGTGGGTGTGTAAAAAAAACGACCTATGAATGTGACATTGCATCACCGCAGCCTGTATTTTGTTTGTTACCCGCAAAGGTATTTATGACAGCCAATTGCCTTGAAGTATGCAATATATGGGCTGTTGCTGCCAACTTATTTAGCTAAGGGGCCATGCAGTGGTTTTGGTGCGTTCAGAACCACCGGCTGATAATTCAGCTTACGTGTATGAGACATAGTGACCGCCCTGTTTTTTGGCTCCTGACCCATGCAGCCCCTCCCATGGCAAGTGTTCACCAGGTCAAGCAGATCTGGTGAATGCCCAAATGTGCAGATTTCCAGCAGCACTGTCAACAGCATGGATACGCAAGGCTATAGGACATGTGTTTGTACAGTTGCTTATTTGTTGCTGTACCTTTTAGCATCAAAAATAGCATCCAGTGGTTCTAGTTTCTCGTCGCTCTCAAGTTCTAGTAACTATCAAGTAAGGACATGGTTTTGAGAAAGGGAACACTCGATGGTTTGTGCCCTCCTTTCTCATCAAAGCCTACGTTTTAGCTTTGGATGGGCAGCCTGTGTGCGTTTCATTCATGGGGCGCAGCCACATTCCGTTACCAAGAGCTACAGAACACAGCGTGTTGATGTTTGCAATGCATCTTGTGCAAAACAATATAAGTGTCACTCCTCCGTTGGGTTCCTGCTTTCACCCCCTGGAGGGGCCAACACTAAACATGACCGATAAGTGTCTTGGCTTTTTCACCTTTCAAAACCACTGGTCTGCTTTATTATTGAGCATTCCTTTCAGCGAGCGTGAGTGGAATAATGCCCACTGGGCACCCAGAAGAGGTGATCGGAAAATTACCTTGGGAAGGCTGAGTAGCACTGCTTCTTGTCGACACTCACACGGAGATGTAACATGAGTGGATCAAGTCTGCAAAAGCCGCCCATTCGGATTCTTTGACCACTAGCCGGATCACCTTGAGACGCTATAGTCTGTGTTTGGTCATGGGTTTGCGATTTGAGGTGGGTAGCGAACAGAGCTATCAGAACAAATGCCCGCTTGTTGAATGGACTGGCCGGTTGAAAGCTACTGATCCTTATCACTTCCTTGGAGATTGCTTTTCTGAATAACTGACAGACCACTCCTCTCCCATCTGCCACCCCCTTCGCACCCGGCCTCCCACCTCTGTAGGTGGTCGTTGTCCTTTTGCCACCATTAGCCCCCCCCTCCTCTCACTCAGGACCTGTGCCAAGCTTGTGGCCAAACATTCCGCTTGTTTGATTTGTAGCAGGTTTCTTTATGCGTTTGTGTGCATGTGCCTGCACTCCACCATCCCACCGGCTGTTCTCCAGGGATGCTTTTCATATACACTGCATTTATACTCGGGTATGTGTGTCTGTTAATTGTAAGCAGTGGCAAAGTGGTTAGTGCACTGGGTTACGAATCTGGCAACCTGAGTTTGATTCCTGGCCACGGCTAACACGAGCGGTGAATGATATCTGAACATGCCCTAGGCCTCCCATTAGTTATCTCAGCCGTAAATGAGTAGCGGATGCAGTGTATAAATATCAGCACTGGGGAGACAAAGTTGGTTGGGCATGGTGCTGGCGACAACCTCGTGCTGTGCTGATCTTACTAGGCCCTCACGAACAGCACTTGGCCCAACAGCCTATACGGCTATACGGGAGATCTATATCTTTATTATGGCGGCATTAACTTTCTCATTGTCAGTTCGTGGAGAACACTTACATGTCCAACCAGTCTCACTGTCTTAAAATCCTTAGATCTTGTACGTCACTCGTATTTAAAACGAATTATTATTGTGCCTTGTGCAGGGAGTGGTGGCTGGAAAGTAAGAAGCACAATTTTCTTCCGGTACTATTGATAATTCTCAGTATGCCCATCAGTGGAATTGGGGCTTATACTTCTGGTGATGTACAGCCCTTTATCATTCTGCTACGGCAAGTAGGCCTCCCTATGCCTTTTGAATGTGGGGGGGGGGGGGGGGGGGGCTGTTTGACCATGTTTCACCACGCTCATGAGTGCAGATTTATGAAGAGAGGGGCTAGGACTTATTCAGATATCACTCACTCACCACTGATGTAAACCATGGCCGGAAATTGAACTGATCACCGGGTTCATAGTGCAGTGCTGCAACATCGCTCCACATCTCACTTGTCCCATCTAGCGTACAATGACTACCAGTTGTTATGTGACAGTACTTAGGAGACAAATTACACACAAGATCGCACTCATTAAAAACAAATGAACCACAATACCTTGCTGATCTTGGAAAGGAGCATAAAGCATTACGCGAACTCCAGTCATCTTCGCAGTGGCTTTTGGCTAGCCATAGAACAAAGACGGTCCATGCATCGCATGTTTTAATTTAAGATGCGCTTCTGCGGCTGTCTGGAATGCTCTTCCTTCCGATATTAGGAAGCCACTGAAGCTATGCACTTTTAAATCTAGATTGAAAACTAATTCCTGTAGAACTGCTTTTAGTGTTTATTTTGTTCTTCTCCCCGCACCTCCTATTAGCACGGTTGGCTATGTACAAAAAAGGTGGGGCATGGTGCTAGCCCGATCTCCCCAACCTGCTTATGTTTGTGTGTGTCTTTCTGACAGTCTGTGTGCGGTGTGTCTCACGCAGGGAGGTGTCCCGTGGCCCCGCGCACTGATTGTGCTCCGTGGACTTGCGTGCGTTCCAGGGAGGCCGATTCTGCCTAAGCTCATGTTGTCGGCGATCAAGGGCAAATGGTCTCCGGAATGGCAATTTTCAGGCAGGAGAGCGTGGAGGATTATTATGAGATCGGAGAAGAGCTGGGGAGGTAAGTTCACCTTGCACACAACACCACATGTGGGGCGTGTTCCAGAAACGTGTTTACTCGTGTTTCTTTGATCATTATCTAGTTTAGCATGGGTGACATTTGTTTGGAAAGTTCATGTTCATAATGAGTTTGGTTACGATATTTTGATTTGTGACTTTTCTCTGATGTTGAGGCATAGCTGTGTTACAGTATGCCTCCTATTCCTGGTTGTGGTGCATGCCAGGCTAGTGCATTGTTGATGGTGAGGCAACATTTTTTTTAAGGATGTTGGCTTGCTTAAGTTTGGCTCTTTAGAAATGTAACTCGCAATATAGGTGGCCAAGGGGATACAAGAAACTGGTATTTTGAGTAAAATAATAAATGACACATTCACAGGAATATTAAAACACGCAAATAACGTTATCAAATGCAGTGCAACGTGGTCTTTAAGACATCTTTACAGCACTGCCTGACAAACAAAGTATTTGAATATAAAGCCTTTGTGTTGCTAGCTGTAATTGAGTTAATGTTTGTGCCCACTCTTGCAGGTAATTACGATTCCTGTTCTATAATGCTTTGTCATGTTGCCACTTTTGTAACCGTATATTGTGTGCAAACATGTAAAATACCTTTTGCCTAACACAAACACTGCTCTGTTATTGAACTTTATGATGAGTGCAGTACTGCACTCAACACAGGCCTCCCGTACACACTACCCATTCACTATTGTCCTAGGGATGTCTTTGTAGTAATTGTGTGTATAATTTTTATATATATTACGTTCACATTTTGCTTCATGCCAAAGTTGGTACTGAGAAATCTTTGTCTAAACAGCTGTAATGGGACTAGTGTTTGGACATCTCTGAACCCTGATTTGAGTTGAACCGCTCAGTGGCTGTCACAAGGAAAGTCATGTGCTCCTGAGATAAATAAAAAACTGCATCATATTGCATGTATGTTGAACTTCTATTGCACCATACGTAGCAACCGTGCTGATGGGAGGTGCATGTTATTACCAGTAGGTTCGTTTGTTAACCAAGAATATATGCAGTTTTACTTTTAACCCATTAGAAAAATCTATAGTGTACGTGACTCCTAGTATTGAACAGGTGAGGTCAAGTTGTCGTCAATACGAGAAAATAAACTGTTGTGATTGTGCCTTTTCAGAAGGTCCGTTACTGCAACTGGCAAATGTGTTCCATGAAACTTATCCGCCGTCCTTGTTTGTGTCTCCGCCGCCTACTACTCTTCGTTTTGAACTTGTGGCGCTGAGCGAGCAAGTGATGGGCCGTAGAATTGTGGTCCTATAGTGGCGTAGCTATTGAATGTGCAGGCTGTGCAGCTGTACTGCGGACCACCGACCAGAAGTGCCCAAGCACCGGGTTACAAAGAAGGGGGATAGGGGGCTCCCGATTTGACTGTTTGCTTAGTGCTATGCTGTAACGAACGACGCTCGTTTTTTCCCCATCCCCACAACGGTCACGCTTGGCCTTTCTGTATTTGACGCGATTGCCTGAATGAGAAGTCTCAGTGGTTTGGACTTTTTGTTTTTTCATGGCCAACCGGCCACTGTTGAGACTGTCATGTTCGGGTTACGCAGGTTTTCCGCTCGACAGAATCCCCCCACTGTACGTCCAAGATAATAATGCACCAACCTCATCTCCAGTTGCAAATGGTAATGCTCCTCTGTAGCCTGGCCCACAGCATCTCTACATCTCTGTATTAGCGCTCCCTTTCTTGCTTTCCTATCTTCTCAAAAGCAGGTGATGACAGTAGGCAGCACTTTTGTGCTGGTACTGATGGATCGTTTTTGTTTTTTATTCGGACACCTTTTGCTAACTGGCATCTCGTGTCAACAAGACTTCCACCACAGCTACTGTGCTGCAGCATACAACATGATAAACTTTAGTGTTTTGTGAAAAAAAATGTGTCCCCAATTGTAAATAAAATTCAGTACTTATCCTTGTTTTGGCGAGATGAGTCCACATAGTACACTACATTAACTGTTTGAATAATATAGTTATTTATATTTAACACTTTTAAAAAGCCATCTTATGGAAATGGGTACAAATGAATATGCTGGCATCATCAACATTTCAGATTTCTTTGTCATTGGCTGAACGTGGATTTGAAAATAACTATTAGTGTAATCAGGCTAATTGATGCATTGTGAAGCTAACCATTGCATTAAAGAAAAAAAATATCAAAAGTTACATAATTAAAATAATTAAATGTGACCAATAGCCATCAACTTGCTGTTATTCGTTTTGCTAATTTGAAGGCATGTACACAAACGATCGCGATAGATGGTGGTGGCTTTGGGTGGTGTTCATCCAGCAGTGAATTGACAAGAGCTGATGATATTAATTCTAGATTTGAAGCTTTCGTGACTGCAAGAATTCATACTCTTAGGTTTTTTCGGTAAAGTCACGTAGGTAAAAATAAAAATTAATAGAAGTAATAATAATAGAAATAATTATTTTATTTCTATTATTACTTCTGTTAATTTTACTTCTATTAATTTTAATTTTATTTTTTACCTACGTGACTTTACCGGGAAAAAAACCTAAGAGTAAGAGCTGATGATACAAGTGACATTCATTTTGGCATGTCAGGCTTGCTGTTGTAAAGCTTAACTTATGCCTTTTTCACGCAAACCTATTAATGTTATATTATTTCAGTATATATTTTCTGCCATCCTGCTGTGCTTGCAGATTAAGGTGCCGAGCTCCCTGCCGATTTAAAAAGCAGATTACATTTTCGCCGTGTTTTCTTGGCCAGGTTTTAATCACCATCTTGACGGCTGTGTCGCCAATTTTTCCGCAACACAGCAGTACCTCCCGAGAGACTTGTTTTCATTTAAAATCACCGGTTTCCAATTAAAAGCAGAAATGCATTAGTCACCTCTTCAATGAAGGTTTAAATTGCTTACAAGCTAAACATCAAGCAAAACTATTTGTATGCAACTAGAGAAAAGATAAAAAGAGCAGTTTTACACTTCTCTGTTTAACAGTCGTAATAATTTATTGTATAAAGTGTTAATTTGACAGCAGCTTTGTAAACTTCTTTGTGGGAGCTCAGCATTAATAACCCATTTTGGGAGCTCAGCATCAATAACCCATTCAGTCACTTTCAAAATGCATTAATACAGCAGTGAAATACTTTTCTAATTCAGGCTTGTGATTCGGTCCAAGAATGGGTTCATGTGGCATCTCGTGGCTGCAGAGGTCACAGGAACCCGTTACGTGTAACATATATCAATGGAAAACATTGCTCTTGCGATCCGATGTGTATATAATAATCAATATTAGCATCTCCGATTAGCACGGTTGGCTACGTGCGGTGCAAAGGAAGTTCAACATACATACAATATTAAATGATGAGTCAATGCATTTTTCACATCAGCCATGTTCTTTCCACTGTTGGGTAAAGACCTTCCCAAGCAATCGCCATCTCTCATGGTCCGGAAATTCAATTAACTATCAAGCTCCTGCACACGAGCTCATCACATCACAATACTCTTGGTGGGAAGTCCTTCTGGGTGTGTTCCCTTTAGGGGCCATCCATTTAGTACGTATGCATGGATGGGGGAGGGGGGGGGTTCACCCAAATGCGTACGCTTGCGTATGGGGGGGTCTACTGGCATGAGTTAGATAGTCCGGCGGTGGACTATCTGTTTGCTTAAACTAGTTAATATCATTAATCCTTGATCGTTTCTGCGTGGATTCAATATCGGCCATTCTATAGGATTCGGGGGGGGGGGGGGGGCGGTGCGTCAGGAAAGTTTTGACAGATTTTTGCGTACCTACTAAATGGATGGCCCCTGAGCTGCTATTCAATCATTAGTCTCGACCACCCTTAGTCATTTCATCTCGCATGTCTTGCCCAAGCCCACTGGCTCTTTACAACAGTCAATGTGTTGCTCTTTGGTTCTTTCGGTAAAGTCGCGTAGAAAGAAAATTTATTAAATAATAGAATCCGACGTTTCGGTCGCAACACAAGCGGTCGTCATAAGGTAGAAAGCAAACCTTGTGAACTTCTAACTTTGAGAGAGAGAACAAAACACGGAGACACACAGACAGACACACACAAGCAGAGAGACAACACAGAGACACACAACATAGACACACAGAAAGCTTCAAATCAAGTCGATGTGTTCTCTAAACAATTGAAGATATATTTTGGCGAGACACACTTGAAAACACATCAAAGTTTGTACAGAATTATTTCAAGGTGGACTCGGATCATAATGATGAAATAGAGGCAGACACAAGAGCATATTGGAGTGCTTTTGGGAAACTTAACTTAACACTGAAAAGTAACACACCAATGTACCCAAGAATAAAGTTAGAATACATGTATATTGCCTGCTCTGGAATATGGATCCGAAACATTGACGTTGACCAATATGATGGTGGAATACTTAAAAGTGTGCAAATAAGTACGAAGAGGTCAGGATTTGAATGACACTTGAGACACAGAAAGAGGAACACAACAGAAGTTAGTGACATCATATTCAAGTGCATTGTTACACGCCTAGAAATAACCTACTTGGCAATTTACATACCCTTACAACCTGTTCTCATGGTACCTGCGGCATCACCACGAGTCGCGGCAACATTAGGGTGGCTGTGACAGGCACCTGTGTTGAACCAGTTCCTACTAAGGTACAAAGCATATAGAATCATAACGCCGTTATGTCTTCATGTATTAATACAATTGTGTTTTAGTCAATCATTTTCTTAGCTTGCCAGACCGATATTATCGAGCATTATTTGTTCAAGCAAACACACTCTGGTACCAGTTTGGATCTTTTTGGTCTCACCGGGCTTACGATGTAAATGGTGCTTGGATAACAGATGTTATTGGCAAGAACACTCCATCTAAACAATGTGGCCCTATTCAATGCAAAACATTAAACATGAGTTTAGTATCCATCATCCTTAAATTCTCTCCTAAACTTTTACGAGATTTATTTTTCCTAACTCCCTTCTAGAATCGGCAGTTATGACAAGCTTTGG